AGAGCCTAGAAAAACATAGCAGAAAAGTATCACAGAGAGAACATAAAGGTCAAAAACAACAATGGAAAAAGCAGTGTGTTCTCAGGATTTGAGTGACTCCACCCACTTCTGTTTGCCTGTTAGGAACATTATTACTTCCTCCTGCCGTCATGAAACAATGCTCTGATCTCAGCAAGGACCATGTTTCCACAGGCCCAATTGTCTATTTCTCTGGTGAGACATAAATCAGAATTACTGTGTTAATCACACAGAGGAAACGATCAATTTCAATAATTATGCCAGTTGTATTCATTGCTATAATCATGGTTACCTTCAAAACTTACTGCTAGTATGCACTATTTAGTTCTAGATAGAAAAAGTCAGAAATTTTCCTTAATAGAAATTTGATTATTGAAGCCATTGCTAACACGCTTACCTGGATCTTGCTGATATGACTAAATTTAGGTTGGATGCTGTTATTGAAAAATTATATTAAAATCCTAGCTATCTGTCATACATTTTAGTTACTTTTTAACATTCAAATAAGGAGATTTTTTAAAACCATAAAGGTATCATAAATGAAAGATAGGGTTAGTATTTTAGCACCCACCCCCAAAAGGAACTATCCACAATCTATATAGGAAATGCCTTTGGCTGTTGTGGAAATGCAATACTGTCACTTATGACTGGACCACTGCTCCTCTCTGAGGCTTGGCTCTCTCCTCTTTAAAATGAGAGGAAGACAAAGGGAGTGAACTTGTTACCAGGGATCTTTTGGGTCCTCCTGTTCTGTGTAGTGCGAGGATTCTGATTCCATTTAGCACAGGTTCTCATAAGGCCATAAGGAGTGTAGGCAACAAAGGCACAGATACACAAATGGGACTGCATCAAACTAAAACACTTCTACACAGCAAAGGAAACAAGCAAAAAGCTGAAAAGACAGCTGTGGATTGGGATGAAATATTGGCAAACTGTATATCAACGAGGGGTTAATATCCAAAATATGTAAGCAACCCACACAACTAAATTGCAAAACAAAACCCACAACTAATATGATTAAAATTGGTCAAAGGACCTGAATAGACCTCTTTGAAAGGAAGACAAGCAAATGGTCAACAGGTATATGAATAGGTGCTCAGCATCACTAATCATCAGAGAAATGCAGGTCAAGACCACAATAACATACTACCCTTATCTGTTACAATGGCTATTATCAAAAACACAAGAGATAACGAGTGTTGGGGAGGATATGGAGACAAGGGAACCTTTGTACATTGTTGATGGGAATGTAAATTTGTACAGTCATTATGCACAACAATATGGAGGGTCTTTAAGAAATAAAAAATAGAATTATCATGTGATCCAGCAATTCTTCCTCTGGGTATTTACCCAATATAAATGTAATCAGTCTCTCAAAGAGATAGCTGCACTCCCACGTTCACTGTGGTGCGTTTTAAATCTCTGATGTGGCTGTATGTAGGTGTGGGGTCTGCTGCTTTCAGATGATCTGTTTCTTTCAGCTTGTTATTTGACTTCACAGGTGCCCATCAGGTCTCTCCTCTGGAGAGGTCCTGAAACTCCCAGCCTGTGGGTTTTAGTGGGGTGGTCTTTGCTAGGTGTTCAGGGGCTGTTATTTCAACAAAAGCTCCACAAAAGTTAAATTGTCCTAACATACTTCCCCAACATGCTTTAACATGTTGTGTGGAATTCTCCTATTAATCCGACCTTTAAGTTAAAAATTACATGTAAACATGTAATCTGAGAGAGTTAGTGCATTAAAGTACAACTGCCCAGAAGCTAGATTCATCCTGCTGTCCTTCTCTCTCATCAGTTGTCTGCCTGTCCATTTAATCCAAAATAAGTTGCAGGCATCTTGTTTTGTTTTGTTTTGTTTTCAGATAGGCTTCAAACCCATCTGTCTATATTTTATCGTTCCCTCTACCACCTTCCTTCAAGTGACGGAACAGAAACTCTAGAACCAAACTCCTTGGGTCTAAGTCCCATCCCTGCCACTTGCCAGTTGTGTGATCTTGTATACCTTGTTTCTGAAGCAGCTATAAACAACATAGCAATCCCTTCCTGCTCCCACCTCTCCTTGTATCATCTTCAAATTGTTGATGTCACCCTAGGCAGATGGGCCCCAGGGTAGACAAGCATCAAGCAGAACGTAAACCTGGTAGTCACAGCCACTCAGTGGCATTTGGATAGCCTTACTCTTGCTGCTGACTTGTGAACAGTATGCCCTCCCTCATGATTAAGAGCTTAAGCTTCAGTGATTGATACAGACTGAATCTTTGCATCCCTTCAAATTCATGTGTTGAAGCTGTAGCCTCCAGTTTCACTGTATCTGGATGTAGGGCCTGTGAGAAAGTGATGAGGGATAAATGTGGTCACAAGGGTGAGACCCTAATCCAGTAGGGGTGGTGCCCATATAAAGTGAGGAAGAGGCACCAGAGCTTTTTCTGTCTGCGTGCACACACCGTGGAAGGCCATATGGGTCACAGCCAGAATGCGATCATCTGCGAGGCAGGAAGAGAACGCTCCTAAGAAACCAAATCAGCCATAACTTTGATTTTGAACTTCTAGCCTCCAGAATTGTGAGAAATAAATGCCCGTTGTTTAAGCCACACAGTCTATAGGTTTTGTGCTTTGTCATGGCAGCCTGAGCAGACCAGTACGTTGATCATCTAAACAAGGTTTTTAATGTCTCTGAGCAAAGCCTCATTTTCTTATCTGTAGAATAATTATATCTGCGTTTAATTTTTTTAAAAACTAGCCCAGGCTTAGTATAGGAAAAGGTTAATTTCCAACAAAACTTATTTGTAGGGAGGCCAGTCTATAGTGATCTTTTTTGTAATTATTTATTTTGGTAGACAATCACAATATTTTAAAAAATAAAAACAAGAAGGAAATCTTTAAGTGAATGAATGAAGGGTGGAAGGAAAAAAACGAATTGATGTGAACATGCAGGGCTGTTCTCCAAAGAATCAGTTGTTACCATGTCTTGCCATCTGCCACCTCTGCCTCCCGGATGTCTCCTGAATCCTTCTGTTCCTCCCCATGGCCCCTGCTGAAGTTATGACTGTTCTCTGTCTTTCTTTCATCTCCTCGCTGCTCCACTCCTATCCCCTCCCTTTCCCTCTCCTCTCCTCTCTGAAGTTCCTCAGCAGGCCCCCATGAGGTCTCCATGCACTGCATCCAGAAGACTGCTCAGTCCTTCTCACTTGCTACCCTGTCCTTTACATCTCTGTTGGAGACTCTGCGCTGATTCCCTGCTGCTCTTCAGATAACCCCCCCAGAAGTCTCCAGTGTGATTTACAGGGCCCATTAGATTCTCTCCATTCTCAGACTTAGCCTTTGATGGTCCAGCCACTCTGAATTTCTTCCAGTCCCTCAAAAGCCCCATGCTTTGTTTTCTTGGGGCCCTCTGCACATGACATTCTGCTGCCTCTTCCTCTAGAGGCTAACGTCATTTCCTCTTATCCTTAAAGTCTCAGCTTCACCATGACTGCCTCCTGGAAGCCTCCTCTGATCCCATTCTGGGATAAGCATGCTGTGCTTTCTTGATAACCCTGCTCACTTATTGTTACACATCATTTTGTTGTCCTCTCTACATACTTCACCCTCGTAAGCTCCTTGCAGGCGGGGACTCTAACCATATTGTATCCCCAGCACCTGGCACAGTGTGTGGTACTGAAGGGACTCTATCACTGTTTCTGGATGTAGGGCCTGTGAGAAAGTGATGAGGGTTAAATGTGGTCACAAGGGTGAGGCCGTGATCCAGTAGGGGTGGTGCCCATATAAAATGAGGAAGAGGCACCAGAGCTTTGTCTGTCTGTGTGCACACACCGATTAGAAACAACTGTAGCATTTACTTTGGCTTAGAGAAATGCTTGCACACTGATTTCATCAAGCCATCTCACTTCTGAAATGTATCCTTTTTCATGATTCTGCTTGGGCCTACATTGACTTTTGTCTTTTTTCCACCACTTTCATTCATACAGATTATATGAGGGCCTGACATGTCATAATTATCTCAAATAAGCCTGACTCTTTTCACCCTCCATTGTTGAGTAACTAACAATGCACGCTGCCAGGTCTGGAATGTGTTTTTGTTTCAACATAGCAACCCCGAGAACTGTGCAATACCAAGGAGGCAGCGATGACCTTGTAGATGGGAGGGGAGTGACAGAGAGTCTAACCAGTTGCATGGGTTTCCACATCGAAGGAAACAAGAATGGTGGGAAAGAATAAACGAAAAGAAGCCAGAGAATAGACACTGCATGCTACATCTCATGTTTTGCAGAGCACGTTGTGGTTATGAGCTGTTCTCATCTTATGAAAACCATTAAATCTTTTTTGTCTCTGGTTCATTATTGTGCACTCAGAGGTTGCTTAGGCTATTCCATCAAGTCTTCATGAAAAAGAAGACTGCTCAGCAGACAGATGCAAAAGGAAGAAAGGGCTGGCCTAATGATGCAGTTCTCCCTAGAAGGAAGAGTGTTAGTCATCAGCCTTGGCAGGGCCTCACTGTGCAGCAGCCCCACTGTGGGTGCGTCTTCTGCTCCCTGCACCCTAAATTGGAAAAGCCAGTCTGGCCTGTTAATGGCAAGGTTGTGTGTGTGTGTTGCTGCACACTGTGCTTTCAGATCTACCACTGGGCCCTGCTACACTCCCAAAAGAAAGCCTCAAAAGGAGCGACAGAATCTCACCCGGGCTCCAGCTGTGTCTTTGGTACATCAAAGGCCCTATGTTTATATGCTAAGGGCATTTTGTTCATACACAGTTAGCATGTTTGTTCAACTATGCATAACAGTATACTGCCTTCAGGGTTTTCTATCGAAAACAATGTTTAGTAAATTATATAATTCATAAATTTTGGAAGCCTTATTTTAGGTTACAATGCCTTATTCTTAGAATACAATGGACATTTCAAATACAGATTCATGAGACTGAGTAAAACATAAAGGAATCTGACAATAATATTCTTGGTTGCTTTTTGAACAATTTACTCATTTTAGGTCTGGAGTTCAAACTCTGCCCCACAATGCCAAGGTTCACTACAACTATGCCAATTTCCTGAAGGACCAAGGTCGGAACAAGGAAGCCATCTACCACTACAGAACAGCCCTCAAGTAAGTGGTGTACAGGGAGGGCGTTGGCCTTTGTGCTTTAAAAACGGTTGTTTATTTCACTTGTCCCTCCCCATATGTGGAGGGGGTGGTTGTTTGGGGTGGGGTAGGTCTTGGACTCTGAGTCTTTTGGCTCAATATTCAAGTCTGCTATTAGTGCAGAAACTCTACCTCACATCTGACTCTTGGTGTTTTCTTGTACAAGTTTTCTTTGCTACACATTACACAATGAACTGTTGAATATATATATATATATATATATATATATATATATATATATATATATATATATACACACACATGCGAACAAGAGTTGGTTGTCAAAAACATACCGGTAAGTTCTCATGATATTATTGCAATGAATTTTAATGGTATGCATATAGAAAGCCCTGGACATCTCATGCCTGAAAGTATTTACATGAAAACATTTGAGTATAGAAATGAAATGCCCTGAAAGTTGTATTAAATAGAAAGAAGATGATGACAAGACACACACACAACCCCCAGATTACTATGCTGGGGATACATTAATATTGTGTGTGTGTGTGTGTGTATGTGTGCACGAGTGTGTGCGTATTAACATTCTCCTTATAGTCTTCCAATGAAAGAGAGAATACTAAACATATCCTTAGATGTGACTTCAAGAGAAACTAAAAATTTGAGTTCTTCCTTACTGGCAGCAATCTCCTCGTATCAGAAGTGGGAAGTACCCAACCATCCAGTTATAGTAGCTGTTTGGGTACTTCCGCTTCAGGTTCTCTTTTGAATTGCAGCTCTGACTTTCAAGATGGTTTCCTGTCAAACATCCCAGATAATAAATGTACTTGATCTCCAACACATGGAGATATAACAACTAAATATAGCCTGGCAATCTCCAATTATGGACGAAATAAAGCAAGGTGAATCCTCTCTTTTATTCAATACTGTGATGCTCACAGAAAACTTTTGAAGATGTTTTCATGCCTCCACAGATTGGCTACCTACATTTGGTTGAGTTTTCTGAAACTGTTTCACTTTGAAATATGTTTAAAACATCTACCAACCAAATCATGCATTTCACTAAAGTGTCCACTAGGATTGTCTCCAGGCTTATTTTCACAGTCAGTGTCGTTCTGTTTATACAGGCATATTGCTTATCAATCAAAATCTTTTAGACTTTAGGACCTGTTACTTAATATTTAATATGGCAAATATGGCAGAACTTTTCTTTTCTTTTTTTCAAGAGAGAGCTTCACTCTTGTTGCCCAGGCTGGAGTGCAGTGGCGCAATCTTGGCTTAATGCAACCTCCACCTCCCAGGTTTAAGCGATTCTTCTGCCTCAGCCTCTCACATAGCTGGGATTACAGACATGCACCATCAAGCTCGGCCGAATTTTATATTTTAGTAAAGATAGGGTTTCACCATGTTGACCAGTCTGGTCTCAAACTCCTGACTTCAAGTTATCTGCCCACCTTGGCCTCCCAAAGTGCTGGGATTACAGGCGTGAGCCACCCAACGCTGCCTAATATGGCAGAAGTTTTAAACCATACATATCAAGTTTGCTATCAAATATTTTCCCAAATGTTACAAGAAATATAAGTTCCAGAGGAATAATTGTACCAAAGCTTTTTGTTGAAGAATAGAAGATTTTTATTATAGAATAGAAGGTAGTTTTAAGATTTAATCAAGAATTATATTCTTTCATTAGATGACAGTTTCCAAAATGTTCATAATGCTTATCTCTGGTGGGTGAGATTATAGATTAATTTTTTTCTTTATATTTTCTTGTGTGTTCCAGATGTTCCAACAATGAACATCTATTCCTTGTGCAATGAGGAAATGTCATTTTTAAAAAGTCATATTCCTTCAAGGGTACATATAAAGTATATTTTGTCTTCAATAGTTAATTAACATTTAACAATTTTAGATAGCATTCTTGAAGGGAAGAAAAGACCAGTAGGTTTGCCTGAAACTTACATGATCGGTAGGAAGTGTATCAGTATCTTTTTAATTGAATTTATTATAACAGACTATATTCTGTCAAGTTCAAACAGAAAAATAAGGCAGACCCTCAGGCACAGCTTTGAGCAAAGGTATAAATTAAACAAAATTCTCTGGCAGTTGATTTTACAGAGTTATAGTAGCTGGTTGGGTACTTCCGCTTCTTTGCTGTGAAACAATACAAATAAATGTTTGCTTCAGCAACTGTGCCTCTGGAAGAAATATGTCCCTTGAGACATTGGGAAAAACAATTAAAGCTATAAATATATAGTAATTAGTGAAGTAGTTTATGCTCTCAGACTAGGTTCAAAATACCTCTGGTTAAAAATATCATTTTCATGTGGATAACTCTGTGGCGAATTTTCAACGGATGTGGGTATTTTTGTTTTGTTTTGTTTTTTAAAGAAATAAATTGTCACTCTTTGTGTTAGAGGGAAAAGGAAAATACCAGAGCTGTTCATCATTTTGATGATTATTTATCCTTGGTGACTGGAAGATTGCCCTTATTTTGATGTTGCTATTTCTTGGTGGAAGTTGCTGAGACAGGGATTCCTCTCCCTCCCAGCTGCTCCACCTCTACTTCAACTTTCGAGCATCTGATGTTTTCCATATTTGCACACAGCAAGAAAGAGAGTGATTAGGGAAATGCAAGGTTAAAGGCGCTATTATCTGAGATCAATTCCAGCAATTATCCATTACTGCTGTAATGACTGAATAGCTCTCAAAGGCAATGGGGAAATTAATCATAAAGGTTGTACCTGTACCAGTCTGTTTTTGGCTGGCTTTCAGTGCTAAAAATAGCACTATAATAAGTTAGTGATTACATATGGCATGAATATTCTGTTTCTTTTAANTTCTCTCCTCTAAGATACTTTTTTTCTCTGTTTAAAATGGCCATTTCAGCTTTCTATTTCTTTTTTAATTTTGTTTTTAAACTTTTTTTGTTTTTTGAATAATGAAGAAAAAAACAAACACTGGCTTCTTTCTCTTTACCTCATTTATAATATTTCTGTAGTATAAGGGAAATCTCCCCTGGAAAATATTGCATCTAAGATCGTGTATTCGGTTTAAGATCCAAATCGTCAAAGAAAAATGTCAAAACTCGTTTCTTAAATCCTCAACAAACACAAATGTTAGCTTTGCTTTGCTGTGAGGGGCAGCTCTCACATTTATACCTCCTACAGTAATGTAAAGCTTGGGATTCTCTGTGTTGGAGATTTGGAAAACCACTGGCAGATCTGCCATATGCCTCCAGAGCTCTCTGACCATTTAGTTATCCTGGAGAAGGTTTCCAACATTCCACCTCGTGTGATGGGAGTACAAAGTCCAGAGATCATCTAACAATTCAGCCCTTCCAACACAAAAACTCCCAAGAAATGCATCAGTTAATAAGCCCCAAAAGAGAAATAGTGATACTCCCTGAATAAAGTGAAGATATTGATGTGTACTTTCCATGTGTGTACTTTGTTAAATAGCTTAAAAAGTCAGTTAAAAGTGGAGAATCATAAAACAAATTAAGCAAACTGTTATTTTATTTCCCCCTGAAATTTCAAATGTACATCCATTCACCAGTCTTCTGATGTCACATCAAGTCCTTCTCTTTAAGAATCTTCTGATTAGAATCTGCAAAAGCCACCTCCATAATTCATTGCTATGAGTATCAGTTTTGATATTTAAAATTGGAATAAAAATGTAAAGAAATTTGCAAAGTAATTTGAGTAGACTGAGATTTTTCTGTTTTTCTCCTCCAGTCTTTTACAATTGTTTCACTCACATCTAATTCAACAGTGATTTTTTTGAACATTTTCAGAGTATTTACTTATTTTCCATAGAAATAACTCCTTTTGTCTATGGCCATATGACCCTGAATGTGCCCGATCTCATCTCATCTCAGAAGCTAAGCAGGGTCAGGCCTGGTTAGTACTTGGATGGGAGAAACAATTCCTTTTCACACTTAAATTTTATCAGTTGGCAAGACCAGGCTCTTTTCTCCCGGTATAACTAAATTTTGCATTGTGCTCTTAATGCTCCCATACAAAATAAATCTCCATTCACTATTTAATTGTCTAACACATGGGAAGGAATAGAACTAAAATCTTTCTTATTAGAATGTTTAGTGTATAACATAGAGACTTGTTATGATAATAGTGCCTATTGATATAATTCTTTGTATTCCCTCCTGTGTGGATCACAGGAACTTTGTAAGGACATTGCATTAGACTGTAATACATGTATGTAGACAAAGAAAGTAATAATGGATTGAGTACCAAAGAAATTATTATTAAAATCTAAATAAATAAACTATCATTAGAATCTAAATAAATAAACTATCATTTGAAGCTAAATAAATCTAAGCATGTCTAATTAACCACTGTTCGCTATGTCTTGAGTATATCAGTAAGACTACCTTATTATAATTTCTTTTAATAATGCTGCTTATAAAACTATTTTCTGTCATGTTCAAACAGAAAAATAAGGCAGACCCTAAGGTACAGCTTGGGGTGAAGTTTGAGCATGTTTTAAAAATCAGGAGTCAGTGAGTATTTTAGAAAGTCCTTCACACAGCCTATTTTAAGTGAACATTTAAGATAACTCTCTCATGACTACAGGTGGACTTGGAAACCAGTTGCCGTTTATTTCTGGAAGGAACTAAAATTTCAATACCATTTGTTAGCCATGTTTAACAAATGGAGATGTGTTGTTCTTCAGCCAGTGTGGTATTTTCATGTATAAAAGTTCAAATATGCTTTCTAATATCACAAGTAGACAAGAAACCACTTTTGTTTCTTCTTGTTGATGAAATTACTTTCTCACTATATATATGCTGTGTTACTTAAATCTGGCAGTTTTATTCATAAGTTCAGGAAATTAAACATTATTTCATAAAAAAAAAAACACCTAGAATTTAAATCACATTGTGGCCATATTTATGAACTGAATTTCAAAATGAAATCTCCATAATTTATTTTCAGAAATGTTTCACTCTCTGTGGCTACCTTTTGTCTACTTTAGACCACTTGTTC